CGTGCATACGAAAAGGACTTCAAATGCTATTTAATAGACTCTCAGTCTCACTCCAATGCTATAGAGCCAACAACGGATTGTTGCGATGTCTAAAAGGCAAATTCAGTTAGATAAGAAATGAAATAGTGCCGTTGCGAAGACATTCAATGCCAGCAGGCTGCAGAAGCGGTTTGCTTAGCGCTACATATTGTCTATGAATAGTTGGGGACAAAAAAGGTATATATATGCTGCGTTTCGGTTGTATTCATAGAAGTTCTATGCTGCCTGAGAAATTATATTGTAGCCTCACCGTACGGTTTGCTGATATGCACCCTGAGTGGTCTGTTAATTTGGGTGTAAAGATGTTCAGCTCCAGGCTGCCTACAGAGCAAACTGTAGTTACTTAGTTAAATTAAGATATTTTTCAGAGCATTCTAATTGAAAAATGGCGACAAGTAGGCTGACTCTGCAATTCCCACGCGACGCCGTTATCAGTACTTAAAGGACTATATTTAGCAATATCGATACCCTGTGAGAAAAACTCCGTCAAACAGGACCACATAGTCAGTCCATAGACATTGTTTCCCTGTCCTACTGGTAGTGCATCTAAAAACGACGCCACTCCCCGATAGTTGAATCGCTCGGACATGGCGGTGTGGTCGGACCATAGGAAACATTATGCTGTGGCGCTAGAAATACGTGTGATACCATACCACAACAAAATTACACTCACCAATGCCAGCAATAAGCCACCGGGAGCAGCAGATGAAGTTTTAAGGCCTAATGTATGGAGACAACTATGATGTGAAAAATAAGTATAATAAGGGCGTAGAATTATCAAGCTTGGTAGCGTATAAATGTACTAATATCAAAAAATTGAGATTAACCTTTCCCACACCCCACAACCACCAACCTAATTTTGCCTCTGATTTTTTTTCAAAAATCATGAGTTTCCTCTGAAACGATAAAAAACGAAGTTTGAGCGATTTTTATTCTTTCCGTTTTAGGCCCTTTTCTCTGCCACCCTTAACCGATTTTCAAAAGTTACAAAGTTTATGCATCCTTAGGATAGTAGTAAGGCTGTGTATGAATTTCATCGAAATCCAAGCGGTAATTCTCAAATTTTAACATTAGCGGACAGAGCGACAAACTGGCAGACCGACAGACAGACAAACAGGCCGACTGAGATGAGTGACATGGTTTTCCGTGTTATACATATCATTGAACATCCAAAAAACATAATATCTCATTTTCGAAAAACATTGGGATTGAAATATCCTGTAGGTGTGGCAAGTAAAAAGGTTCTAAGTAACGTTTCTTTGAAGTTGACTGTTTCCGAGTTATAGTAATTTTAATGTTTGACAAAATGATCATCTTGTCGGCTGAGTAAGACCATTTTTGAGGTTGCCAAGTACCTAGATTAAAGTTAAAACCTTCCTCTATGAGACCTCGATGAGTATTTTAAAATAGTTTATTTTAAAGCATCTTTTAACCTTATTATTAGCTCAAGACTGTACAATAGCAGTAGCTAACATGAAGCGAGCACGAACAAAGCTTTTAAATCGTACCATATTACGAGGAATGCCTTACTGCTTTTTGTGTAATAGGTATGTTTCTTCCTGGTCCAAGATTGAGTAATACAAAATTTACTCTAGAACTCGACGTCAAACATCAGAAGTTTCATGATATTTCGGATAAACAAAATCATATACTCGTAGACCTCGAATCAGACATTAATAATCGCGAAACTTCACTGCGGACTTATAGACTTAATGAACTTCAAGATTAATGCCATTTATCACATGAAGGCAATAATAATATATATGAGGGTTTACTTTTCGCCCTCAGAATTCGGCTATATGCGGAGACAGATTTGGCGGAGTAATAGTACAGTGACATTTATATTTTCTAAAGTATAGTTATTTCCAGAAGCCTCTTGTTTAAAAGCAGAAGAGCGAGATGGTATTTAGGCGGTGACAACCAATTAAAATAAAATCCACCGTTCTGGTCTTTTTCGGGAATAGGTATCTTATTTCAATAAAATCTCTCTTCTCGAGAAACTGTCGACGAAATCGCCAGCCACTGCCTTTTTCAAAATGTGTTGCGCAAATAATTATTAGTATTAGCATGACCTTTGATCCAAAAATACGCGGTCGTTATATGCAAAAAGCGATAAAAAAGCACATAAAAGAACCCCGACAGTCTTCCGGGTTTGAATGGTATGCAGGGTATCCTCAAAGTTGGAACTTTTGTTTACAGTCAATAATAAGCAAGTACTCTTAGCAGCACATGTGCCAAAGCCTTAAGATAACCGAGATATTAAGTTCTGTAAGCCTTTAAATGAGCCATTCCGAACCTGCGTCAAAGGGTATGATGTTTTGTGGTACTATGTGAAACAATATCCAAGCCAAGCGCCGCGCGGTGTGTAGGTTAACCTAGTCTATACACAGACCGCATTCGAAAATAGAAATCTACACATTCCTGGAATGACGTAGCTAAAGGCTTGATGTTAATTTACTGTGAACGTCTTGATACTCCGCGAGTATATTCGAGTATTCAGAACGTCACTACCGTTCTCGATATTCCCATCAGAGCTGCGTAGGTTTGTTCATATCGTTCAAAAGCCGTCTGGGTGGACACATTAGAAGACGCTAAACGCTTCAAATTTAGGAAGAGGTAAGTGCAGTGGTTTCTCAAAAAGGAGAGTCCCAACTACCAGAACACTCTGGAAAGAAACTGATACTGGAATCTAGCAGGTAAATACACTATCCTGAATGATAGGCCGTACACAGAGCTGAAGAAAGCATGATTAAATAGGTATGACTACAGACAGAAGTCCATATCAGGTACCGATGAGAATCGAATGCTGCGGCTATAGAGCAAAAGCTCGATGCTGTAGCCGGGCTTCTCACAGGCTGCACTGAAAATTAGCTGGACTCCACCCCTCAGGAATAGAAAAAGACCGTACTGCTCCAAGTTGTAGGAAAAGCATGAAAACAACCTTCTGCTTTTCTGTGTATCAAGGCCATATGATTCAGACATTCGGCATAACAGAAACTGCTTATACATAGCCGCGATTCGGAGGTCTTGCAGTTGCAAGTTTTACCGTTAGTTGTTGTTACCTTCTGTGTTGTTATATGCGTTTTGTTTGCCCAAAAAATTCTACATAATGTTTTTGATTAGAGGTTACACTATCAAGTACCTCACATCCCATATCTAATGCAACTGATCTAGCACGTTATCCAGAGAGATTCGTATTTGTCAGAAGAGAGAGGCAGCAACACATCTCTGGGATCTTTTGAAGTTCGGGACAGAAGACAGACAGCAATATATAAAGTTTGTATCAAGCAAACTTATGAATGTAAGTAACTACGGAATCCATATCTCCGAACTTGTATATTTGATATTTGTCGTGGCGTGGCAATGTGCCATGCCTGGAGGAGTCCTCAGGACGATTGTTTCGTTCGAGAAGGGGGACCTGAATTTTAATTTGTCCTCCCGTTCGGATGGTTCATTAAAAGTTACGATGAGGAGGAGGGGGGTTTCTCGTTATTCCATCAATAACATATTCAAAGTTGTTTCGTACATCCACTTTTCTACTACGGCTGCACTCGCGTATCGGAGATTTAATAAACCGTCCTCTGACAGTTTGAATTGCTATTCAGTTGTTGTTTAATATTGTTCACTGCATCTGGTAACTGGAAAGAAGTAGATCGTTATTATTCGTTGCTCTTTTGACACTGGTGCGTTATTTCAAATTATGTTGTTGAAAATATTATGACATTATAGAGATCGAAAAGTGCATATTACATTAAACCAGCGGTCCCAAACCTTTTTCTTTCTGCAAACCCCTTATGAACATTGAAATATATTCCCGAACCCCCTGAGCTGTCGTTAGTGAGAGTCAATAATACAGTAATATTTGGCTGTTATCAAAATTTATTAATCATATGAATAATGTTTATAATGAGCAAAATAAATTAAAACAACTGTAAAGTAAAACATTTGGAGAAAAGGTATTAAAACTAACTAAGCCTTACAAAAGAAAGGATTAATATGATATGAATACAAGTATTTTGATACTTGTAAAAATCCTCACTGGGATATTTGTGCCTGTTTGTTAGAACAAAGAAATTAAAAATTTGGTTCAATGTCCGAAAGCTTAAGTCTTAGATCGTGAACTGCATTTAATCTATTTCTGTACTTATCTTTGAGGTAAGTTTATGTTGAAAATCCTTTCTCACACAGATACGTTGTGCAGAACGGTAGCAAAATTTTCATGGCTTTTTCTGCTAAGATAGGGTATTCATTTTTTACATTGAGCCAGAAATCTATTAAAGGATGATCTGTAAAAACAGCTTTTAGAGAATTGTCAGAAGACAAATCAATGGACTTTTTCCAATAAAGATAAGGAAATGTTAGAAATTATATCTCCTTCAGAAGGATTGCGTATTCAGTTGTTTGATCCAGGCTTATTAGGAAAATACACTTTGAACGTTAATTGAAACTGCTTGAGATGTTCAGTAATATCTCTTTTAATGTTTTCGTTAAGCTGAACTTTATTCTCTGATAAAAGGCGGCTGAGAGAACCAAAACAATCGTACTCATTCATCATCACTCAAAAGTTGAACTTCTTTAGCATGGCTTCCATTCTATCATGAACATTGAAAATGGTGAATCCTGGACCTTGTAAAGACATATTAAGTTCATTTAATTCAGAAAAAAATATCGGTAAAGTATGTAAGTTTTTGAAGCTACAGAATGTCGGATACAGAAGCGGACAAATGAAATGGATGGTCAAGAAAAAATGCCTGAACTTTGTCACGAGAAAGCCACCTAACTTCTGTATGAAGTAATAAAGAGACGTGGAGACTTCCCGAGTCCTCACAAAGTTCACGGAATAGATGAGAATTTGTAGCATGGGACTTTATAAAATTTACAACTCTTACAGCTTCGCTTAAAGTACTGGCTAACTCTGCAGGAATATGGTTACATGCCAATGCCTGCCTATGAATACAGCAGTGAGTCCATTCTATATTCTCGTTGATCTGTTTTATTTGTGACACAAGACCAGAACATAATGCAGTCATTGATTTTGCACCATCTGTGCATACACCAAAGCAAAATGACCAGTTGATTTCATGTTTTTCAAAATAGTCATTGATCAGATTAAAAATTACTGCACCAGCCGTATAAGTTTCCAGTGGTTTTGCAAATAACAGATCTTCTTGAATGAAATTCTTAAAAATATATCTAACATGCACGAGCAACATTGCACAGTTTGCTACCTCGGTCGACTTTAAGCTGAATAGCAAAATAAGTCAATTTTGTTCTTTTTAAAAGTTCACTTTCAACACTGCTCGCCAAATCGTTAATTCTCCATGACACTGTGCTGTTTCATAAGGGCACAAGGTCAGTTTTTTTGCCGCTTTTTCTCCAAGCATACACATTGCAGTGTCTTTAGCACAAGGTACGATGATATTTTCTGCCACAGTATGAGCTGAACTAACTCGAAATGATGCTTCAAGAGCCATTTTACTATCTGCTTTGAAATCCGACAGGAAAGAAGAAACACTACAATCCTTATTATCTTCCAATTTCCTTCTAAAATATGCAATAGGTTTATCCTTGTAATCCGGATATCTTGTCTCAAGGTGCCGACGAAGAATCGATGGTTTCAAACTACTGTTGGCCATGACGTCATTACCAATTACACAAAGCGGTTTAGGTTCTGACTCTTCTCCGATGAAATAAAAACCCATTTGCAAATAGTCAGTGTCGTATTTTCGTTTCTTTCCTTTTTTCCACCCTGCTTGTCTATTTTCTCATGACTTTTATTCTGGCGAGAAGGTACCTCACTATAACTTTCAATATCGCCACCCTGTGTTGGACCCAAATCGGGAACCGAAGAAGAAGCAGTAGTTGATTGCTCATCTGGCTTTCCGTCAGAGTTCACCATACTGTCCGTTTTTAACCAACTATCCATCTTAAGCTTACCGACTATAACCATATTTATTTAATTTGTATTTCGACATGCGTACGGCTCACGAAGCACATTCGACTGTAGTCATACTTCCGTGACTGCGACCTTTTTATATCTGCAGACGTTAATCTCGTTCTTTCCAGTGCATTTTCAGAAAGGTCTCGGTGCGCTCGATTCGCCGAAGTAGAACTCTTGCCGAATTGTTGCAGCGGCGGTGTTGCAAGATTGAGGACAAATTCCGCCATTACCATAATTTTTTCGCGAGCCCCCTTCATATAGCTCGCGAATGCATAGGAGTTCACGAACCACCGCTTGAGAAACCCCGCTTTAAACCATATCTCAAACGTCAAGAACGACTGGCCAATGGAAGTCATGGGTTTGACCTTGGCAGTGACCTTAATGCATATTGTCATTGACAAATCAATTTTTTGAAGAAGACGTTCTATTTGGCTATGATGCTTATTGTGACTGACTGATAGGTAATGAATGGGTCTTGCTTTGACTAGTCAGATAGACTTTAGGCCTCGAAAGCAGACTTCTATCAGGGTATGTAGGGTGGGAGAGGCTTTTGATTTACTGGAAAAGGGGATATGAGGAAGTGTTATCAACATGGGAGTAAACCCGCCCTTTCGTCTGCGATTTCTGCATAAGCAAGTGGAGAAGGCTGATTGAATGATCAGGGAGACACCTTGTCGTTGAGTTGGTCAAAACATGACACACCACTGCCAAATAAAGTCTCGCATTTGAAAAAATTGACTTGACCTTGGCCGTAACCAAATCTATGATCACCATAGGCAAATCTGGAATAAATCTTAACAACAGTACATTTTACTCCTTTTCTGTCACATTACAAGTTATAATGTCCTATATCTATCAGTACATCCCCTAATACGTCCTGATTTGGAGGGTTCTGGGTCCTACAGGAGGTCGGGTAGGGGTTTTTTGACCATGACCTTCAAATGTTGCATTTCCGAAATGCTCAAAAACTACATGAAAGTAGAATTTTTCTCTGTCCATTTTCCTGGTGAAAAGTAGGATGTCCCACTTACAAATTTGTCTCAGCTTGATCATAAGCTTCAAGGTCGGTGTCAAGGTCAAATCCATATTTTAAAACCAGTACGTTTTTGCTTCTTTTCAGATAATATTATTTCAAAACTTATGTTGTCTGACCATATTTGAGATCAGTGGGAGATCGGGGAGGAATTTCTGGGTGCTGGCTCTACCGCGAGAACACTGCAGGGTCCTTTCTGGCTGTTTTGTGTTTTTTAGCCCAATGGGATTCATCGACTGAACTATAAAATTCCGTTGTCCTACTCAAAGATTCCCCTACCAGGTGCAATAGGATAACGAGCCTTATTCTGTAACTGAAAATGCTGCAGCCGTCATTATGACATACAAGAAGAACAAAACCATCCGTGGCATTGCCCCGTATTTCTTTCACGGATCAAAAACACGGCGAAATATCGACTGAGCCCCTCTTTATCTCTTCTGGTGTTGCTACTACTGCTGTATTAACGAACTTATCCGCGTTCTTTTTATAATTAAGGCAAAAATCCTCCCCGCTCATTTAAAAGAAGACAAAAGAAAGAGCAATCCTTTGATGTGAAAAACCAAACACAGAAAAGCAGAGAAACTGATAAATACACAAGCACTGGTACAGGGTCGGAATAACTCAATGCACAAAATGTCGCTGAGCTAACACATTGGAAATTTTTTTAAATGAAATTGGAGGTCATGTAGTAGCTATTGTGAATTACACTAAATTTACATTTTTCGACTTCCGTTTTTAGCCCAAAATTTATTACTCTTGCTTTATCGTGAATTTCCTTTTACTGACTTGAACCGTTTAAATAATGGTAGATGGGGTGATCCTTTTGAAAAACAATGTATATGGTATTGACACGTCTTTATGCGAAATTTAAATTTAAATCAAAAGCCTTGTTCCTGAGATAATCAATCCCCATGGTCTCCTCAATTTGCGTGACAACTTTCATATTTGGCTAAAGTGTTAAATCCGTTGGTTCTTTTAGTACTGATGATCCCTTATGATTTTATCTTATATGAGGAAATAATCACAACATTGCTTAAGAAACTGAACGTATGAAACTAATGCGTCAAAATGTTGCTGCAGATATGAAGGCAACTATCTAGTTTTTATACTTAGCCAGTTATCTGATAAGCCCATTGTCGAATTCTGCCAATTGATATGTAATCAGAACATCAGAACGTCGCTCCTCTTCTGAACTGCTAACCGTGTTCAGTCTGATTACGTGCCGCGTCTCTGACTTTTTGTGCAAAATTTTATCTGCAATTGTCATGTTGCTCCTTAGGTTACTCCTACGACACGAGAAAGCTCAATGTACCTCAATAAGTCAAACAGCTTGAGATGCGAAACTGGCCCATTGGCTCTTTCTGCCCGAAGTGTGAGCCCTCTGAAAATTTGTAGCTTCACTAGCTGATCTAATATATTTCTATGAGAAATAACTTACGGTTAAAAAAGCTGAAATTTAGGGATGCTGTCTTTCATGTCATTGCTATAAGGCTTCTCAAACCGTATATGGTTCAAATGTCAATAAGGCTTCAACTACTTCCGAGTTGATGCGTAAGTGTGACAAATTCAGGACGTGATTTGAAAAATTGCCAATTCGGTCTTTTGGTTGGCTGATTAGGAATCAGGTCGCCACATCCCTGCCATTCTGACTCTTCTATTGAATATTGGCCAGTGTTTAACCCTATTTTGTGAAAAACACATCTTGTGTATACTGTTACTACAGTCCGGTTCTGTCAAGGACCGACGTGGGACTTTTTCTCGCTAGCACGAAACCCTGGAGCGGTTCTTTAATTAAAAATGGTGAAAAATCAATTTCTAAAAGGTATTGAAACCACCTGATTTGGAAGAAATTAATTGCTAAAAGCAGCAACGGCATCAAAAGCGCACCTACCGCTCTCCTTTGGTACACGTTTATCAAACATATATTTTTTTCTCTCTCACAGTTAACTGTATGTGCCTGATGTGAGCCGAGAAAAGCCTCAGCATAATTAAAATTTTCTTTTTTGTACCCTTGCTTGCGCTGCTGCCTTGATTTGGCAGCACGGAAGCTGGGATATCTAGTTTCCCGACCGGCTTTCCTCTCCATCGTATCGACGCTGCACAAAAACCAAATAAGGTTACAGAAAGGATCATGTGTATAAAGAAATGGAGCATTTTTTTACTTCCGTGTATTCCAGTCAGATTGGACTTTCAGAGCTAACACACACGCCCAAAGCCAAAGATCTCTCATTCAGATAACAGAGCTACGTAACCAAAGAAATGACGTGAAGCAGGTTGAGCTAGCAATTTTTACGCAAGGTTGTTATCAATTCATAAGAAATTATATTTGGCACAAGTTGGTCCCTCAGGAAAACATTTACCACGGACATGTACACCAAAGGTATTAAATAGATCTTGTCAGTCCACCAGGCTCACACAGTCAGTCCATAGTCCAAATACGATTTAATATATCGCCCAACCACCAGCACCCACCACACCACAACGTGGCAATCCAGCAAGAGGTTGCGAATACATGCATCATCGCTCAGTCATATCTCAGCGTTCAAACCAGAGAGTCATACTCTTGTTGCGCTGTCCGACACTCGTAAATCGAAGGCAAATCCTTATAATTCAACCCTTAAGGGCATATGGGAAAATCTGTCATATCTGAAATATGTCTAATAAGTAAGCAGAATTACCGGGGTTGCAAACGTATAAGTTGCTAGCAGCAAAAAATTTACATACTCTCTCCCAGTTCCTACAATCCCAAGATCCAATATTTACTTGCAAACATTTTCTAAAAATGATCAGGATTAATTTTTGGCTTGTTTGCCGCCATCACTGGAGCGATTTCCAAATACCTCAAAGCCTTTTTGTCCTTCACATAGCAGTAACCCTGAGAGGAAACTCCATCAAAATACAAGCGGCAGCTTACAAGTTATAGACGGGCCAAGAGTTAGCCGACAGATAGACAGATAGAGTGAATGAGTGACGTGGTTTTTCGTCATCTAGACGTCATAAATCCAAAAAATTTAATATCTCATTTTCTAAACTTTCCGCGATTACAGTACTGCTACTAATTAAAAAGGTAAAAACTGTAATTAAACTGTAGTCAGACTTGTAAAGTCCACCACCGAGCTCTTCCTACAAGACTAAAAGTAGCATAGAACATAAAAAACAGAACGCCGTCATCAGTTCATAAAGGGTAAAGTTCGGCACAAGTTAAACTCTCTGAGAAGAAAATCAGTTACGGACATGTACAATAGAGCAATTAAATCGATCAAGTTAGTCACATAGGCCTATACAATTCGTC